CTACGCACATGTTCTAAGAGCGATGGCCTCCAAAGAGCGACGGCCTCCAACCTGATAGCTATGGCCTGCATAGCGATGGCCTCCAATCTAATAGCGATCGATGGCCTCCACCAACCTAACAGCACATCGCTGCAGCCATTTTCCCCATGGGCAAGTGAGCTTGGCGGCCAATCCTCAGGTACGCTTGCGCCCCCACCAGTCTGAACACGCGCGTGAGCGTGTCAACGTGGGTGAGAGTTTCAGCAAATCATGGTATACAGATCAGTCTTGTTGAGAAAACATGATCTAGCTAGCGGTGGCCATACCATTGCGGAGTTGACAGCTTCGATGTATGTTTCAACCCGCCCGTCCATCGAAAGAGTCCAGGCTTCCAAGGAGGTTTCTTGTTGGGGTAGAAACACAGAGCGGTCGCAACTAGACTCCATGGCGGAGAACTTGCAGTCCGTGATGACTCCATGGAAGAGTGTTAGACACTAGCTCTAAAATTGCAATTTGTCTTTTTCAATTTTTCAACTTTGTTTTGACCGTCGGTGTCTCGGTGTCACTTCGATCCCAAAGACGTCAAAACCATGCGCCCGAGGAGCCGGGAAGGTCTCCTGGAACCAAGCGGATGTGCAGTCGATGGCCATCGCCTTAAAGCAGAAGCTGCCACTTGCGGTTGCCCAGCTTTTGGGCAGCGAGGATTGGAAGGGGGGCCCTCTAATCCAGCTCGAGGACTCCATCAGCACCGCAAGAGCTGACGATATTGTGCTCAACTACACGTGGAATTCGTTGCAAAATTCAATGACCGTGTGCCCTCAGCTTTCTTCATTACGGACGTGTTTTTGTTCCTAGACCGTCTTTTCCATGGAGCTCTTCTCAAGCCTTTGGAGGCAGGTGAATCCAAGAAAACCCTAGCGGCCCTAGAGGCAAGGAAGGTGAAGAATCTCATTGGCTCTTTGCGAAGCCTTTGGCGCAGCAGTGCTTTGGTGATTTTTTAGATCCGTATGGTCGCTTGTGGGTTTGGGTTCAATTGCTAGCTGCTAGCCCCGTCGCACTTCCAGTACACCACCCTAATTTCCCAACCATGGTCTGGCCCAAGTAAAGCAGCAGGGAGCCATCCAAGAATTTCTGAACTGAAATCGCTGCTGATCCCGTCTCCATCGAGGTCAAAGGCGAGGTAAAAACACTTGGGGGACATGAGCCTGAAGAAATAACAACATCCGGTAGTTCTTATCCCTTTGAATGTCAGGCCACTTCAGCGCTTGTTGAGCACGAGGATGATGCGGCCCAGGAGGACCTGGATCTGGATGGCCCGAAGCGGAACGATGGTGGGGGGAGTGACAGCGAAACCACATTGGTCTTGGGGGCTGAGAATTCATCTTCAACTAGCCCTGGTGAGATGAGTGAGGATGGTGAAGATGAGATTTGGGATGAAGCCGATCACAAAGAAGAGATCGATGGTGCTGAAGATGGCTCCCAAACCCCTAGCTCTACACCAGGTTCCAACGATTCAGCAGCCTCTCCCGACAACGTGAAGGGGCCTGAATGGATTGAGGAGTTGAACCACACTCCTCCAGGAGGGAGGAGGGGGCCAGACCGAGCAGAGGTCGTTGAAATGTGCATTGCTTTGATGGAGTTCTTTGCAAAGCATCACCCAGCGATCATGAAGTACTTCGGTCATCAACTGTGTACCTTTTGTTTTCTTGGTCTTGGTTGGAGGACAAAACCATTTCAATTGAGTTGAATCTTGTTTTGCCATAGTGGCCCCAAATTGCATCCAAAGGAATTATAATTTGGTGCCCTACCTGGACCACTGTGAGTGGAGCTTCTCAGCTTTTGGTGTTGACGCGACCAAGTGGCTCTCCACTCGCGAGTATTGGGAGGGGTGGCTGGCGCGCTATATGGAAAAGGGCAACAAGGTTTGGCGTGTCAAAATCATCCATCAACTTCCAAAGGTTATGTCATTCATTTCCAAGTTGAAGGTCAGGTATCATGTAGCCCTAGTCAAGTTTTAAACTTCAGCTTTAGCCCCTGGCAGGTGCTCACTCCAGAGGAAAGTCGCGCCTTGTCCAAGGAAAACCCCATGGTCCACGAGTTTGAGGAAGAATGCCGAAAGCGAAAACGTGATCCTCAGGTGGGGTTTTGAAAGGAAACAGGTTGCGTGTCATGTGATTGACCTCAAACTAGGATCCAAAACTTTCCGGGAATGAATTGGTTTCAAAGTGTCAAGGCTGGTGATGATTCAAAGATTGGGAAGCTCATGCGCAAAGACGCCTTTGTGGAGGAGAAGGGTCACTACTCAGGGAGTGCGGCTGGGAGCAAGAACCCTCCTATTCTCACTACGCCCCCACCATCCACTAGCTTGACGAAGCTTTTGGAGTCTGATGCAACGCCATCTCCCATTGGTGTGCAAACAGACCCTTGGATCAATGTTGAGTTGTGGTACTGCTGTCCGGTAGTGGTGGCATTGGGGGCCTGGTAGCGAAGCTACTCTAACGGTTCTCCACCCTCCTGCGCATTGCTCAGCCAAGGCCAAAGGGGTGAAGCGAGCGCGGGAGGCCAAGTGCGCGGACACGACCGTCAACAAGAAGGTAAAGCAGGCCAACGCAAGCCAGCAACCGGTCCCACCATCTATCTCTCTTGATCGTGATGGTGACAAGAAGTTCAAGGGTTACTGCCTGTCCGAGGTTCCAAGTGATGCCTGGCCCCAAGGTGGCCCCAACAAAGGCGCCCATGGATACACCATCAAATCCAAGAGTGGCGCAGTCCTTTGCCATACAAGTACTTTTTTTGGTTCATGTTGAACTATATCCAAAAGGTCAACTCCGGCCCAAACCCTTGGACGCCCTTCGCCCTTTGTTCACCTGTTGCCAAGTAACACTAGGGTGCCACCATCGATTTGGGAAGCCTGCCAGCCCAGCCGCCAAGTCCTGAGGTTGTGGAGGTACTCATGCGCAACCGGGCATTCGTCATCAAACGCTTCGGATACGGGGAAGAAGATGATGACAGCGAGCACCGGGGTCAGTGGTCATGGTCGAAGCATGGTGGCGCGCAAATGTGCTGGGATGCAGTGAAACAGGCGTCGCGCTGGCGACCAGTGGCTATGTGACGCCAAGAGACCTCTCCGGCTTTCTATGGGTTTTGTTGTGTGTGAACACTTCTTGACAATAGAAGTGACTTTTTGTGTGAACACTTCAGGACAATAGAAGTGACTTTGTGTGTGATCACTTCTTGACAATGGAAGTGACTGAGTGACTGATCTATTCGATCACTTTTGGGATAGCGCAGCCAGGAGGGAATTGGTTTTGTGATAATCTATGTTTACAACACACGGTCCATGAATGAACCAAAGCAGTCAAGAACCTCCGGCTGCTACCTGGGGTGTTGGGGAAGGCCCTTACCGGACCTACTAGATCAAGGTTGTCAAAAAATCAAGGCGAGCGTCAACTGCCAGCGGTCCAAAATGCTCCAGCCCAGTCATCCCGCACCACCCGCTCAGCCTTTCCTTAGATTTCCGCGCAGCTGATTGACCGGGCGCAGGTGCTCTTGGACCGCATCTTCTTGGCTTCTTTGTCTCTTCTTTGGAGTGGAGGAGGCCCCGTGATTGGGAGTTGGGCAACGAACGAACCACCCAACAAACCTGTTGTGGGTTTTGGTCAGTGTGTGCAAGACCAACCTCACCACCTATCCATGTCACCTTTGCCCCAGTGTCCCATTCTTTGACATGCGCTGCAGGAGCTTTCTTCACACCGTTGGTGGAGAGGAGCAGTGGGAGTTCGAGTTTGATCAAACATCAGACTCACATGTCTCCATCGTTTCATGCTCCACCGCTTTCACAACCACAGGGACTCAAACATAAAAAGGGATTCACGTGCGCTTTTATATTGTTCTTTAGAGGTGCTCAAAATCACAGGCTTGGTGGAAGTGGTGGTGTTTGACTTTAACGCACGTGAGTATTGGCCTCTCTTTGGAAGGACTGCCATTGATCATCATTGAGGCTGCTCCTTTCACAGGCTTGCGACCGGATCAAAAATGCGCCCAAAACAAACCAGTGGAATCTAGATATGGGTTCATGGCCTAGCCCCAAACAACAAAAGTTACCTCTGCAAAGGGCCAGCCGATATTCCACCAAACTTTCATCACTGACAGCTCCCCAATTAAAAAGAGAGAGAAGCAGCTTCAAAACGATGCTTCTGCCGCATTCTGCCGCCAGGTCCAGTGAAGCGAAGAAGAGGCGTCCAACAGCGCCTGCCAGCTTTTACGGGGGACTGGTTTGGATTTCCTCGTGTCTTGACATTCGTTTTCAATAGGAGGGACCGGAGTCATAGTGTGGGCTGAAACTCACGGTGAGTCAAAACAAGTGAAGGTGGTTCAACTTTCCCTTCTCATGCATTCTTCTCCCGAACGATTGCTCTGCGGTTCAAGCACACCAGGATCGGAAACCTTGTGTCGCCCGGGTCAGAGGCTGTTCTTCGCCTGTGGAACGGCAGCATGGGCAAGGTCCAGGTTGCGCGTCTGGCTCGCGAGTCCAATCGCCGCATGCCTTTCAAAGAGGCTTCTGCAAAGAAGCCCATGTCGTGGAAGAACAAACAGCGAGCGTATGTCTTTGCTGGGTTGAGGGCTATGCGTGCTCCAGCGGTAAGGGGCTCGGCAAAAGTGACTGTAGGAATTCTTGGTTCACCCCACCCTGGCTTTTCCGGGTATACATGGCATAACAAAAGGAAACAGTTTTGGCATCTGACTAGATGGTTCTAAAACCCTGGTAGGTGATACTTACTCTTTGTTCGCTGCTTTTCAGCAACCCGGATCTCAAATGGACTGAGCCCATCGACCACGTGGAGTTTTTCGCTGGAGTCTGCTCGATCACCCGTGGTGAGTGGAATGACAGAAGTTTGACTAAACAACGCTTTTGTTCCGGGTTGTTCCCAACCTAGGGGGCCACCGAAAACAGTTGAGCAAGTTTTCAATGTTTTCGATGAACGTCAGCTGAACCCACGCCGTATCTTTCAAAGGCCAAGGTTCTTTGCCACAGCTCGATGCAGGAGCAAAGGGATGCAGTGCCCATGGACATCAACTTCCATCCTGAGAACCAGAACATCATGACCGACATAGGCTTTTCGAACATGTTGTACCAAGTCCTGAACCTCAAACCTGGCGGCGGATTGTGGGCCGCTCCCGTTTGTTCAACATGGGTGTATATGCTCCTCAGCCAGGATATAGGACCTAGGACATTATGTTTTGGGAGACTCCAAAAACTGAATCTTTAGATTTTGTGAGGTGTCCGGAACTAACCTTTTTTGATATACTCTGAGGCAGCTTTCCGGACACCTCCAAAGCGCCCTTGTCGATACCAGGGAAAACAAGTCTATAGTCCTGTGTGGACTCACACCTAGCTGCGCTCAGGTCACGGGGCTCAACGCACAGAACAGCTAGCAACCCCATGGGTTCGAACATTGGGAAGACTGCTGAAGGCAATGTCATGGTTGGTCGATTGATGATATTGCTTTGCGTTGCGGTGGCAAAGCATGTGTGGTGGAACGTTGAGAACCCGAAGGGCAGCCTCTTAGAGGGGCATGTCTTGTTTCAGGAGTTCTTGAGACTCAGACACGTTGTGGCGACAAAGGTGACCTGCAATTTGGGATGGTTTGGTGGAGACACCCTCAAGCCCGTGTGGATCTATTCCAGCCATTGGTTGGTCACCAGAAAGATTTTACTCTTTTGCTTGGTCGTCCCACCTACTTACTTTCATGAAGCCCGCGCTCCCACTGTTTGTCAAGTGCCACTCTTGAGGCAATCGTGAAGCTCAGCACTACAACGACTTCGCAGACCGAACTCGGCAACTTGCAAAATCTTCTCAAATGGTGGTCCACTACCAAGATTCCCAAGGAAAAGCTCGTATCAAGGGTGGAACAGACTTGAAATCAAGTCAAGCATATCCGAAACGGTGTCTTGGATTGTTCCAGATTTGTCTTGGTACCATGACAGGCCAACCCCCCTACAAAACACATTTTACGCTTAGGGCCAACCGCCAACAGGGCTCCTCATCCTAGCGTCCTATAGTAGATTCGATCTACCCAAGACATGCGGCAGGACCCGCGCAGCACCACAGATCTTCATGCCCCTTCTAATCCTCCTACCTCCTGCTCCCTACCTCCTGCAAGCGTCTTACATTACTCCTAGTAATCATCCTCACCCTCATTCGTCCTCCTCTTCATCCGGATCCCCTAAGGGATGCAATTCCCAGTGCAACCGGATATAATTGTTTTATATTTGGGGTTGTCTTTTTGGGGCCCAAGTGGGGCTGGCCTTTCCTTTCCACATGAGCCACCATGCTCTCCCCAGGTTTGGCACTGCCTATGCCAGGGTCCGGTCAAGGTTCCTGAAGTCCAAGAAGCGCAGTGCCAATGCTTTCCTGCGGCGGGCTTTGCGAGGGTCTGACCGTGCAAACAATACCCTGAGAGTGAACAGGTTGTGGATAAAGCATTCCAATCTGGAACCGGTCCTTGATTTTTTGATGAAACGATGATAGTACCGTATGCTCGCGATGGCTTGCAAGAAGCTGCACTGAATGTGTATGGTGTCCGCATTTGTAGTGGAATGAAATTCACCTGCTGTGGAATACCCACAAGCAAATTAGTTAGCAGTTAGCCAAAAGCCAAACTTTTGGGGTTGCGCGTGGGACAAAGGTTGACGCTATGTTGCAAACCTGCCTCCCACCTCAGCCCACAACTCTGGCTCCTCACTCTTTCTTTTTTCTTTTGTATGTTCTTGTATTGGTACAGCCCCAGCAACCCCTTTTTTTGAGAGGCTACATTTACTGCGAGCCCAAAACCATGTACCCTCTACCCTCTTCTTCTCCAAACATTCATGAAGGGCCTTTCCAGCCACATTGCAGGTGATGGGTCGGCTGGTCTTGAAGCGATGCCTATCGAGAACCTCAAAACAAGAAGGCCTGGACCAGTGGGGGCAGGTTCAGGGCAAGATGCGACAAATGTGGTTAAAAAAACAATAAAAAATCATCAAATCCACTCATGCGATTTGTAGAGAACCACCTGCGATTTGTAGCGACCTCCTGCGATCTGTAGGTCAGCTCTAAAATTCACAAAGTTCCAGCATTGTGCGCTACGTGTTCAACCTGTAGCCTTTTGCTTGCTCCAGTGATTGGCTTTCACAAGGATGGGGAAAGCCAAGCCCGCCACAAACACAGAGCCGCAGGGTCGCAAATCGGCTTTGAGGAATGGTGGAAACACCGCCAAGTCAGACCCAGCAAAGCAGATGCTGAAGACATCTGCAAAGACAGCAGCCAAGAGCCAGGCGGCTATCCAGTCAGAAGTCTTGAAAAGAGCTGCGGAGGCAAAGAAGCGCGAAGATGCCAAGGCTACCAAGGAAAAGGACGACAAGAAGGTCAGTAAAGCTGCAGCAAAGGACAAGAAGAAGCAAAAGAAGAACGAGAAGGTTGGAGGGAAGACCAAGACGGCTCAGAAGAAAGGTCGCAAGGCTGAGGATGCGAAGAAGGAGAAGGCAAAAACAGCAGTTGAAGCCAAGAATAAGAAGGAAAAGAAGGCTGAAAAGAAGGAAAAGAAGGAGGAAAAGAATGAAAAGAAGGAGGAAAAGAATGAGGAAAAGAAGGAGGAAAAGAAGGGGGGAAAGAAGGAGCAAAAGAAGGAACGGGATGCAAAGCCTAAGGCGGACTGCAACAAGAGAAAGGATGGAACAGATGACAGCACAGAGGAGACAAAGCGGAAGCTTGCCGAGTCCATGCGGCAGAAGGTGTTGGAAACTCCACCTCCCAAGAGGGTTCGAACAAAGTCTCCTGGAGGGAGCAGCGGTGTTGCAAGCACCACTGCCAGCTCTAGTCAGTACAAAGCTGACAACAAGAAGAAGGCAGAAGCTCACTTTCAGAAGATCAGGGGATCTTTGGACAGTGCCCTTCTCGAGGCAGAGGATTCAGAAGACGAGGGAAATGGCATGCTGGAGCTACTTGACAGCCTCGGCAATTTGTCAAGCTCAGCAAAGGAAGCGGACGAAGCAGCAAGGGAGTTGGAGGAGGAGGCTGAGGAGATGGAAGAAGGAGAAGAAGAAGCGCAAGTGAGTAACAGCGAGGATGAAGAGCCAGAGGACAAGGAGGAAGAAGATACGAGTGAAGAGGAGTCAGAAGGTCGAGAGCGAAGTGAGGCGGAGGAGGAAGACGAGGAGGAGGAGGAGGAGCGAGATGAAGAGAACCCTTCACAGGACGAAGCTGATGATGAAGATGATGATGATGGTGAAGAGAGTGAGGGTGAAGGATCGGGGGGGAGAAGATGAAGAAGTAAAAGGAAAAAAAGACAGTTTGGCCAGTGCAGTGAGTGGCACTTTGAAGAACAGCGCCTAGATCGCTTTAGTCAGCTTTATGTGATTATTTGGTTGCCCCTTTCCTGTGTTCAGCTCTTCCCCAATCATCGCCCCCAACTCACACTCCTGCGGAACATGAAACACGCCCTGCCCAGGCAAGACTAACAAGAAAGAATGGGACAAGTTCGACCGGCAAACCAAGAGCTCTCTGAAGTTTCCTCCAAGCCTACAGCCGATGCTCAAAACAAAGAAGGTGGAGTTGTTCAACATGTGGCTGGAGAATGACATGAGTTGGGACCGTGTCCAATGTGTTGTTGAACGACAACAGACTTCTTCCAACCTATCGAGGAAAGAGTGGGTCGCGGTCCAGGCCAAAGACCTGAAGACCCGCTTGCCCGAGGATCGCTTTAACGAGTTGATCAAGCGCCGGACAGAAGCTGGCCTATACTACCCGGATGAAGACTACCCGGATGATGACATGGACTGGTTTGTTGAAAGCTGGGCTCAAAAAGTTTCCAACGCAAAAGATAGACTCGGAGTTTATGTTTGTTCTGTCATGCCTTTACGAACGTCAAGTTTCCACAAGTTTATAAAGTCAAGTCTCTCTCCACAATGGTGCAACGCACACACACAAACACACACCCCTTGACAGGAGACTTGGATCTACATGCCCAAAGGGCGGGTTGTCCGTCAAGACGATGCCGCAGCAGAGATTTTGAAAGTCCGTGCTGAAAAAAAACTCGACGAGAACCTCTTCAACGCGCTGACTGCCGAGGAAGGCGGGGTCCTTGCAGCTGGAGCTCTCCCGGCTGTCAAAGCAGCGTCAGCTAGCGGCGCCCAGAAGATCATGGAATCCTTGAACGATGGAGCGAAGGTGGTCAAGGCACCAAAACCCAAAAAGGATAAGAAGCCTGACGAACCTGTGAAGCCGAAGAGCATTCTTGAGCCAGGGCCCCAGGGCCTCAAAAGACTCCAACTGTTGGTGTTGTTAAACCCACTGTCAATATACCATGTAACATCATGTAACTCGGTTTCACCAGGTCAAAGGTGAAACAAAAAGGCATGACGAAACTTGCAGTATCATTCTCAAGCTTAGGGAAAAGTTTGGATTTAGATTTGCTCAAGTTCTGGCAAGCTGTTCTCATGAGTTACTTTAATGATGTCATGTTGAACATCTCGAGAAAAGATAGTGACTTCACCTAGCCTCAGTTTGATGTTCAACACACCTTCGAATTCTGAAGGTTTCCAACCCGTGTCATGAAATACCATCCCCAAACAGCCAAGCGCCACCCCTTCCTTCTCCCAAGATTCAAATCCCAAGATTCAAATCAAATCTGCTCTCCGCAAAGGTCGGGCCAGGATGCGCTTGCAGCTGTCCTTGACAAGGCGACAAAGGCGCGCACCAAGGCCATCCAACTCCAAGGCATGGAGTTTGCAGACCAGTTGTCGCAACAGCTCTTAAACCGTGCTGGACAAATGGAAGGAATCTATGGGAGGTTGAAAAAGTCTGTTTCTGCTGAGAAGCCTTCGGACAAGGACATTTCTGCCATTCTCAAAGAGATTGAAGCGCAGAACAAATGGTTCGAGAAAGCTGAGGTTGGGTTTGTTCGCCAAAACATCTTTGTTTCTTCTTTTGATTTATGGAAGCCATTGACACTGAAAAAACACAAGAGGTCTTGGTCTTAGAAAACCCGCTTGGACTTTGCCCTCGTCCTTACCCTTGCGCCTGCCCTGAGGCTTCTGCGCAAGGAATTTTGAAAGGTGGCGGTGGCAGTTCCAAGGGCAAGCGCAAAACCGGGAAAGCCATGGAGAAAGTTGACTAAACTCTGAGAGTAGAGATGTGTGGGGCAGGGGTTTTTGCTACGCTTTCGTCAAGCGTGCTGTTCGCAAGTTACAGTATCCTTAGATTGCGGATCTGGTCTTCAGCGATTGGAAAATGAAAGATCAGCGTGGGTCTGTGGATGGTGTTTATTCTTACAGTATACGTATGTGTCTTCTAGACAACTGGTTCTTTTTCCGTTGATGTGGACTCATGAGTCGAAACCCTTTGCGTAGGAACCCCCAAATGAATAGTGTCATATCCTTTACCGGTCTTCTTTCTCACTAGTCGCCTGCAGCAGGCGAACCTAGCTGCAAGAAGCCGCGAACTGATGGGGCCGTTTATGACAAGCTTCTGCAACTTGTTGGGACCGGTCGTAGCCATGTGTGGACTGTTGCAGAAGTTGCCAGGGCTGTGGAGGAAGATTCGCACCAACTATCCACAGGTCTCCAGAAGCTTGCTCATTTCGGTGCGCATGGGAAGTGTGCTGGAAATACTGAGCGGGATTTCCAGAGGTGGGTTAGAGGAGCCTATGGGTTCGAGCTAGAGCCATACACGATCAAGCTTACCCTAGAAGAGCCTTACCCTCACTTTGGTTCAGCTTTCTATTTGTTTCGTCGGTGACAAACAGTTTCACTCCACCACCAAGTCTTGCTGTCCAGATTCGTCACGAAGCTCGAGCGATCGACTTGAGGTTCCTGGCGAAACTGATCCTCAGGAGTGCGAGGCGTCAGTGCTCCTGCCCCATTAGGTTTTTGGTGCGTTGCATCGATCCGGACAGGTCAGCCTGGTCATAAACCTTTTCTTCCTTGTTGCCCCCCCAAAAAATTATTGAAACGTCAAAGAACAGAACGAAGAGGAGTCTTTTTGTTAGGGTTGCTAGGATGCCAAAGCAAAAAATAGTTCACACATGGAACCTCACAACCCTGCCAGTTCCAATGTTTGATGTGTGGCAACCACGATGGAGCTTCTATCGCACGATTTTGGAACCATCTGAAGACATTACGTGGGTTCAAGTATCACACACTATTGCACAATCTCTCCGAGAACGAACTGAAGAAAACCATTCCATGCGTTGTGCATGGTGACGGTGCGGAGATGTATCGAGACGATGAGTTTTGGGTGGTGAATTGGTCCAGCGCCCTTACTTCGAGTGGAGGGCTAGATTGCCTTGTCAGCCACTACCCAATACTCCTGGTAGCAGAACGTCAGACTGTGGATGACACTGAATCTTGACAATAAGTGCAGTAAGGGTTCAATCTTTTTGGCTCCCTTGTCCGGTCGACATGGCTCGCTGCGGTGGAGCCCACAGTCCTACATTAAACTCTAGTTTTAAAACTTAAGTTGCCCATTCCGTCCAAAGGTACGTGGAAACGTGAACAAGGCCATTGCTGACCTTGTTGCCTGGTCTTTGCATTGGGCTGCTCTGGGTGTGTACCCCAGCCGTGGATTCTATGGGGAAGAACTTGAACACGGCTTTCGAAGCTCCTTACGTGGAACCAAAATTGCAGGTGACTACAAGCCCCTAGACTTTCTTTCGGCTTGACTTTATTTGATTGGGTGATGGAAGAATACCGACAAAAAAAGACACAAAATGAAGACCAAACATTTCCTGTTGTTGGTGTCCCTTTTAAAAACTCTACAGTGAGGTTGGTTTACATGGCCTTCAAAGCAGACCTCAAAGCACGCATGCAGTGTCACTTGCTTGACAACTACTACAAGTGTCGACAGTGTTGTGACCGCTGTGGAGCCATACAGCAATTCACAGCAGTACCGCACGCTATGTCTTACAAAAACATGGCAAAGAATTCGCCGTATGCTGCGACCTGCAAAGGCCATGATGAGTATGTCAGAACTGCAAGGCGGTTGTCACCGTGGACAGCTGTGCAGGGGTTTCAATATGAAACCTTGGCATTCGATATGATGCACATAGTTTTTTTGGGAACCGCAAAAAATCATGTACCCTTCTGCCTGAAACTTTTAAGACACATGGGGTACCATTACAGTGCTGGTGAAACCGATGCAGAATTCCTCAAAAAGGTTAGCTTTGAGATGAAGCAGGACTGCAAGACACACAAGCCCCTCGGAGCTGTGTATGGGACTCATCGTTCGGAACTGTGGAAAGCATTCTCCATATTTAGTTCGCGTCCATCATGTTTCTATTTTCTTCAGTTCCGGATGAGTATGATTTATACAAACATGTGTGGGTACCACATTTTTGCAAAACATTTTTTATGGACTTTGAGTGACAAACATTGTCACCCTGGAAAAGTGTTGCCATTTGGTGAGGAAGTATCTACCACGACGTGTCCTTACGCTGGCCAACACTGTGTGGGATGATGATTTCTGCGAGTTGGGTTCGAGGTTTAAAGCCCAGCACATAAAACTGATGACTTGGTGGGTAGCCTTCAAAGTGGGGAAGCTCGCGCGAGATTCCGACGCTTAACCAAAACCCGTGTACTTTGTTGGTGTGTTTTTTTTCCTTGAGCCCATTTTCCCTATAGGTTTGGTCTGTGCAAAACGTCAGCCAAGGATGACCCAACGCTTCAGCTCATGAACCTTTGCGCTTACTCCTTAGCAAAGGCCACTGAACAAATGGATTGCTCAGGTCTGGTTCTCACTGTCAATGAAGCAAATGTCTCTCGGTTGAGCTGAGAGAATATACCACTCGTTTCATCGCCAGATCATGTCCAAATGAAGACTTGGAGGGGCACATGTGTCGAGCAGAGTCCTGTGTCCAACCCATCTCACGGGTAGAAACTTTTCAAACCAACTGTGCCTCCCACATGTGGTTTCTTTCACGCATGGACCATCCCCATGGTTCAACATCCACTAGTGCCAATGGAAGTTATGCTTCGGAGTGTCGCAGCTCAGGAGATTTCAGGGCACCTGCTGATGCACTTGCGTGCTACTGAGTTTCTAGCGTCCTGGTGCTGGTCCAACAATGTGTTGGCGTTCAAGATGCGCCCCAAGCATCACTACCTATGGCACATTGCCATGGATTTACCATCCTGCCGGGTTAATCCGAATCTCTATCACTGCTGGGAGGAGGAGAATTTTTTGGGAAGCTTAAAGAAAATAGCTACCAAGTGTCACGGCAGAACCGTTCAAAAGCGATGTCTGGAACGGTATGTTTTGGGACTTGCCAGCTTTATGAATAAGTTGGCGTAGCATGCAGTACGCAGCCTGCAGCGGTGTGGCCATTTGTATAGTAGGTACACGCACTCATCGATCACCATAGTTTTTAGACTTCATATGTTTAAATCGACAGAGACCACGAAGGTTGCAAGCGCTGTAAAGGCTGCACCTGGGGCAGCTGCGGGGAGTTTGCAGCCAGAGACCGAAGCGGCAAAACAGACGCGGCGCTTGCCCACGGCAAGCTGCTGCCGACCGATGGGAAGAGAAGCCGGTGGTTGGGTGTGTGTGTGTGTGTGTGAAACTTAGATGCGTTTGGTGAAGTTGTTTCGTGGGCACCTTTGTTTTCAAGTAAGGGGTTGTGTGCAACTCACCCGCTCTGATTCCAAAACAGTGTTTGGTAAAATCTTTGGCTCAAGTCGGTTGTGGCATAGCTGCAGGTTTTGCGATGGAGAGAGATTGTCACGCAAGTACCGCCAAAAGGCTGGCCCCTATACAGTGTCTTGCGTTTCTGGTTATAAGCCGTTGGTGCTACGCCGTCGACTGTTTGCAAACTGGCTCGTTTGTTTGACCTTTGTCGCTCGTTGCCAAAACATGTCGCCTGTGGCGATATTGTCGTCCGTTTTTAAATTCTTGTGCGTTTGTGCAATTGTCTTTCTCTTTCGCCCGCTAAATCTCAAAGCCCTTATGTTGCGCATTGTTGCGCAAATTGTCGTTGGTGCTGCATTCGTGCCCTGTGTTTGGGCGGTGTCGTTGGTTGACACAATGCACATGCATGATCGTGTATCTGCTTTTTTGCCTGCCTGCGTTGCAGCCCTAGCTATACATGCACGCATTCGTGCAATTAGCCTCGCTGGTCCTCACCAGCTCTTTTTTGGGTCAGCCTTTGCCCAATTTGTCGTTCGCGCTCCATTCATCCTCTGTGTTTGGGCGTTGTCGTTTGGCTGAGACTACTGCAGCTCGTCCACGTGTGTGCGCGCGACCGATCAAAGGTGTCGTTTGGCTGAGACAACGCAGCTGGACATGTGTGCTCAAATGCTCATATTGTCGTTCGTGTTCCATTCATCCTCTGTGTTGGGGCGGTGTCGTTTGGCCGCGGCTCGTCCACATGTGTGCGCTTTAAAGCTAGATTTGTCGTTCGCGCGCGATTCATCCTCTGTGTTTGGGCGGTGTCGTTTGGCTGAGACAATGCAAAGCTCATATTGTCGTTCGTGTTCCATTCATCCCGTGTGTTTGGGCGGTGTCGTTTGCTGGCTATACGCACATGCAACTATAGACTTCCTGGCCATTTTGCACAAATTCTCGTTGAAAGATCCTCATATATATAGACATCTGCGACATGCGATGCATACGACATCGTTGTAGGCAACACTTGTCGTTTGTTGCAAGACTTGTCCTTTGTGCAACGGTGGAGTGTCTAAGTATCTCGAATCGGGTGACTTCGGGCAGGTCAGCGCTAAGTTCGAGCATAGGCTGGAAGAGACTCAAAAGACCAAGCTCAGGTATGGCTTTCGCAATGAACAGTGGTTGAGGAAAAACCATGGTGACACCAAAGCCGTCAAGATCATGAAGCGGAAACGGGAGATGGGGTTGAGACTTGGCGCTATCAGAAACCTATAGCTTGATAGCCACGTCTTGAAATGGTAGATGGTCTTCTTCTAGTTCAGCCCAAACCCATCCCAAAACTCCCAGAACCAAGCCTCTCTTCCCTTCCATAGAGCGACCATCTTCTTTGATCAGTCCTCACGCGGCAAAGGACAATTCCTGACCCTGAGCTTCCGGGTGAGCCAGATTGCTTGTTATACTTTGTGATGGTCGAGTTCAACATCGATGATGTGAAGGAACTGCGTCGAATAACCCAGATTGAGATGTCCGGCCATCTGGATGCTGATGGCCTAAAGGCCTTTGAAGTTTCTTGTCGATCATACTTTGGTGAACAAATATGATGTGCATTCATACCTGAAGCTCCAAAGACCTTGAAGCTCTTCTATATATATACATATATATATATGTAAATGAACCTAAAATGACAGCGCATGGTCCCAGGCTGGTGGATGCCTTGATGGGAACCAGCACCTATCGATCTCTGAGCTGTCTGGCCCCGGAGGTATGAAGAACGTGGCTGCCGCTATGGGATCCTTCGGTTCAGGTAAGATTAACAAAGGCAAAGGCGGTCCCAAGGAGGTCCCAAAGAAGGAGGATGCTAAGAAGGCTAGAGCCTATTTCATGCAGGTCAGTTTCTAATGTTCTGTCAATTTATGGGGGTAATGTTCATATTGTTTCTTTCAGGTGGAGATTGAAGAGCCCCTCAACAAAGCTCAATCCTTGCTGCAGCGTGTTCTCAAGGATGCAAACAGCTGCAGGTAACTTGGTGTGTTACTGGTGGTGTCTGGAAAGAGTATGTTATCAGTATCACTTCATGTCAACAGATTATTTGTTATCTTTTGGTACACGATGCATTGCTGAGGGACCAAGCATTTAAAATGCGGCCTCTATCCTTGTCGACTGATCTCATTGCGCAGCTGAAAGCTTGCTCCGTCAAATTGCAGCATCACGCTGATGTGTTGCAAACGAAGATCGCCAAGAAGTGCAACAAGAAGAAGCATTATCGCGAAC